GCTTCAGTCAGAAATGGCACTAGTGAAGGCTACAAATGACTTTTGTGGGGTGATTAAGCTCTTCGGGCTGTGATGCTCTGTTCTCCATACAGCCAAAGACATGTTTTCTACCACAAGGTCTTCTTTGTGTTGTGCTTTTTAAAAACATAACTCTTGCACAGCTTTTAATTCCACTTTTCAGTTTTTATGCATGAGTTATTGTTTTTGTTCTTCTAGTTTCTGTATTGAATTTCATTCAGACTTAAACTTTTATTCTGTTTCATATTTCAATATTCTTTCTTTTATTTCATTTCATGTAGTGCTGCTTTTAATTCCACTATGATATGATGTCTATTGGCTGGTAGTTATGGGTCTGGTAATGCCATGGCTTTTGTGTGTAAAGCAGTATTCCTATATTTCTGGTATTAAGTAAAGGATCTGAGTACTCCCTGATGACGGTGGAAGAAAATGCTGTGGACACATTGCTCCAAAGTAGGCGTTCTGATTAGTTGAGATCTCATGTTATTAAGGCTATAGGATGAGATTTACACTATTTTCACATTGAAACTAATCAGTGAAACTAATGATTTATTATCTTTCTCACCAATTTATTCAACTGTTTCCTTAAATTCCACTCACAGAACACTTTGGTAAAAAGAAGTCCTGAAAACTGTTTGACTAAAGTGGATTCTGCCAGTGCCTCAGCAACAGAGAAATGAAGTAAAAGAAAAGGGCTGAGACAAGTTGGAACGTGTCCTAATGTACTCCTGCAGACCACGAAGTGTTTAGTTTAAATGCACCATAAAACGGTGTGTTATTGTTGGACTGCTGTTACCTTTTAAGTTAACACTTTGGTCTGTGTAGATATTTGTGTAGACTGTGTGAAGGTTTCCGAGCACAAGCCTGTATTCATAACAGGATGACAGAGAAATGAGATGGAAAAGTGGGAAAGCAGAGTGTGAATGAGCACGCCTGTCGGTCAAGAGCAACACATTGCATTCACATCCGTGTGAAAAACACTGAGCCATTCATCTCCAAGTTTTACTCTCTCTGTGTCTTTCTCACACACACACACACACACACACACACACACACACACACACACAGGCTCTGCTCTGAAAGCCACTTGTCCTTAGAGAGGAAAGAGGAGCTCGGTGGCTGCCTATGATGGGGGATGGAGGACTGATTGGGAGACTGGCTGGTAGGCAGTGCATGACTGGGGGAGGTGTGGGTAGGCGTGGAGCAGAGAACAACCTTCCCCCATCCCCAGTATGTTCATTACTACATACCCAAATATGTGACTCGCTGTCCAGTCTCATCTCTATTGTGACTGATGGGAACAAAAATTCAGAATATAAGTAGCTGAGAGAGAGAAAGAGAGAGTGAACTCCTACAGGCTTGAATCTTTTACATGAAAGAACATGCACTGTTTCCATCCTTACTTCTGCAACGGGTAAAACGTCACCTTTACTTTCTGCCTAGGGATAATTCCTCTTGTGCACCTGCCTACAAGAAAATGAAGATGTACACAACCCTTTACAGTAAACAACTGAGCTTTACCACAATTCTACCAAATTTGACTCGATTTAAGAAAGAAGAAGATGGTATTATCAACGATTTTCTGGAAATGTAAACCATGAACACTTAAACAACTGCAATTTTGCTGGTAAAAAGTATTCAAATTCAGTGAAGCACTGAATAAAAAACAGAAAAAGTAATAACCAATGTTCCCTCTAATTTTTCACGTGTCTGAGCGAACACACAAACTCCCTGAGCGGTCCCTTGGACCACTGTGAGAAACAGCAGGCATGTGCACTGTGGTCACGCCAGCATCCAAGCTACATGGTTTATTAAAATAATCTGATTACAGTATTTACATTTATGTTAGACTACTTTTAATTAACTGCTTTAGCCCACTTACAATGAAAATGTAAAAAAATCTTGTTCATGACCTGTGTAGCATGTTAACTAAATAAATAAATAAAAAAAAAAAAAAAAAAAAAAAAAAATATATATATATATATATATATATATATATATATATATATATATATATATATATATATATATATGACCAATGTTGGGTAATTAATTATATAGTTACTTCTTCAAAAAAGTAACTGAGTTATGCAAACAAAGTTTTTTGCAGCTGTTTACCTAAAAATGCAGCCAAGGCGTTTTTATTAAATAAACATTTCAAACTATTTATAGAACAATCAGCTGTTCTGCATCAAATCTGATGCCACACAAATTATTTGTTCACTCCAAAAAATAATTTCTGTCCACTATGAGATGAAGGAGAACAACAGCCTGATACCTGCAGGCCTGACAGCAGCAGATGTATCACTGCTGTAACACCTGTAACACTCAGCAGTTGCCTCATTGTTCTGACACACACAACAACACTACTGACCACACTACACACTAACTACACACTAACTACACAAGATTTGCGCTAAACATCGCAAATCTCTCACATCTCAAAACACAGCTGTCACTCCTAAAACTTCCCCCCTTCCTAAACAACTAAAGGCCATGCTGCCATATCAGTTTTTGATTGGTCGACATGGTACATTTTTCCACCAATAGGAAAGGGTGGAGTTTTTTGGTTTTGTTTTTGCTCACAGGCTTTAGAGCGTTTTCCTTATAAAACGCTGTTTTTACCGTTTCTTCCCGCAGTAAATATAAACAGCGATAGTATTCAGGAAGAAAACCAAACATTGCAGATATTTTTATCATAACTCTGGTTTTGCGTGGCCGATCAACACAATTTAAAAACTGGTATAAAGTCCACACTTTTTCCGTCAATTGTTCCGTCTGTCCTGCTCACATCTCCAGTGGTTGTACACGTTGTCATTAACGTGGCTTCACTCCACATCAGCCGCTTTGCTCGCTAAAACACCGGTGTTGGCGCATAAAGACGCTGTCATAGCCTGTCAACGATGTGGATTAGCTGCGTATATATTGGCTGGACTATGGGATAAGGTGGCATCGTTCTAATCCCGTACGGGAGCAGCCAGTCACTTTCTGACTAACACTGCAAAACGGAACATTGGTAATAATCCCTTTGGATGGTGTGATCACAGACTATGTGTAAATGATGCACATAGTCAACATACCATGCTGCTGAATGTGAAGTCCTGCTTTAAAGTTACAACTTTAATGTTACAGTGTTGTACATTGTACACTGTCACAGTACATTAAAGCTAATGCTATGTCCTCATCAGACATGACTGACTGTAGTTTCACTCACCAAGAGTCAGAGGTGCAGCTCAGTAATTATAATCACTGAAGTGATGCCTAGCATTGAGCTTGGCTATAGCCATTGCTGTTGGCATTAACTGTCAGTTATGAGGCCAAACCCTTACTATTCCAGAGTTGAAGAAGGAAAGCAAAACTATTTTTGTACCAGACTGTAAACTTGTTTTTTTCTTAAGTAAAGTTAGAAATGTTAAAATAATAACTCAAGATTAGATTTTGTGATGGTCCTTGGCTTTGAGATTTATATCTGAAGTTTTGTTATTCAATGTTGTATTTGATTCCCGTTGTTGCTTCTCAGTGCTGACCTAAAACTCATTGTCAGGTATCAGGTTGATAAGGTGGACTTGTTGGTAATAGTGCAGCTGTATCTGGATAAATCATGTGCTGTATTTGAGTCTCAGTCCTCATGACGTCACACAGACTGCAAAGTGATTTCCATCAGAAAACTTGTCACTTATATTAAAAACATTTTCCTTCACCCTCCTCTCGCGGATCTGAATTGTTTTGCTATTTTCAGACAGAAACACATGCACTTACTTTTTCTTATTGTAGTTAGTAGGCCTACACCACCCTCTCCCTCATGTACTCTCTTTGGGTCTGCTTTTTGAGATACTAATTTACTGGGTATGAAGTGACCGGCTGGATCTTTGCATATAGATTATATCGTACTGTGAGTAAATCCCCCTGCCACTGGCATCACAATCATTTGTAGTAATTAAACCATATCTACCCCTCAACCCATAAAACTAAATGCATCTTTTTATTTTTCATATTTACCAGCTGGATATGTTCCAGTGTGAATCAATGAATCGAGGTCATAATGTTGATTTAGAGAGTGTATATACATTTATGGTTGTGTGATGTTCAACTATAGTCCATCAGCCTGTTGTTGAAAATTAAAATATATTTTAGCAGATTATGGTCTGAAGTGGAAAATGAAATTACAACACCGTGTACATGTAGCTTTGCCAGTTGTGTAGATCATTTTCATAAATGGTCCGTTGCTATGAATTATAGGACCACATTTTCCCCTCTCCTTTCATAAAGAACGGTATCCTGTGCTAACCGCTCTAAAGATGTTCTGGGGCAAGAAAATGTGAACTTAAGACTATTCCGCAAGTTTACATTGGCGATATTGTACCAGTAGATGGCGATGTCGCATACGAATTAGACACCGGTGTCGGTGGCGTGAGCTATTCCGATATTGTACCAATATTATTTATATTGTTCCAAGACAAATCAAATGTGAGTTCAGCTCGTGTTCTGGCCTTCAAATAAATAAAAATAAATAAAATAAAAGTGTCGATTAGTTCTTAAAAAATATTTGTCGTGAACAAGTTATTAAAGAGGCAGTGTTAGAAAGCTAGTTTATGTCGATGCTTTTTAAGGTAAGGAGTAAAATAATAACATTAATAACAATAATAACAACAATAATAATCATAATAATACATTTCAATTATTTTTCGGGCGGGCATGCGCAAGCGATATTTAACATACGTACGCGCTTCCGTAAAGCAGTGACAAAGATGGCAGTCGCCGGACAAGGTAAACCGACAGTTTACGTGCTATATTGTCGTGATTTGCAGTTAGAGCGAAAATGCCCAGCTTCCCATTTAGCAACAGAGTAGATGAACGGTTCCTAAGCGTATCGCTGTAGTGATATTTTGTTTGTAACTGGGCTTTGGTGGCAAGAAAATGCTGTTACTAACGCTGGTTAGTTAGCTAAAGGACTCGCTAATTTGGCCCACGGTCCCTGAGCGTTACTCTGCCGCCTGCAACACCCACACTATATCGTTTTGTAATCATCGGGGGTCTCTCTAGTGAAAACAATCAAGTTTTCATCCCAGGTGGCATTTATAGGGTCTACTATGACGTTTTTGTGGTAATAGTTGAGGTGACGCCCGTAGCTAGCTTGATGTGTAGCTAGATGAGTATTTTGCTCGGCGCTAGCTGTAAGCTCAGTCACCGGAGACACAACATTCCGGAAGAAGCGCTTGAAAACACAGCGTTACAAACAAAATGAAGCAATTGTCTCTGTTTACTCAACGCGTCGAGCTTCTGTATTTGATTACATTTAATTTTATTCAGATCAGTGTAGTTTTGTTTCTCCTTCATTCTGGTTATGTTGTGTTGAAAAATTTGACCAGATTGATTGAAACTAAGCTAAGCAGTATAATTTATTTTTTTCCTTTCTAAAAGAAATCAGTGGGTTATCCTGCGTCGTGTCATGGCACAGAAGTCGCCTAATTGTCATTTGTTTTGTGTGTCTATGTTTGTAAAGGCGTCAAAGTTCCCCGCAGCTTTCGGCTGCTGGAGGAACTGGAGGAAGGTCAGAAGGGAGTTGGAGACGGTACAGTGAGCTGGGGCCTTGCAGATGATGACGACATGATGCTAACTCACTGGAATGGCATGATCATTGGCCCTGCCAAGGTGAGCCACGTCAAGCACCTGCTCTAACACTTCAGTATGTAATACTGATCTTCTTCAGTCGGCCACTGGGCTTTCTGCCTTGGAAGCTGACTAAAAGGGGGTTTCTTTTTAAACATCACAAGACAATAAAATGCAAACCACACGGTAAAGATTCTGTTTGACCATGTGGCTGTGCTGCTCACAAGCAGAGATTTCACGAGCCGATATGATTTGTTGAAGCTGTGTTTGTCACACCCTTGTGTCAGCAGGAAGATTATTAATTCAACAAGATATAATGTGCATGAAGGTGAGGCAGGAAAAAGTCAAATATTAGAAAAGCCAACTTTGAAAACCTTAACAAGTTGTAAGCCATACATGCAGCTTTACAGTGCCGTGTTTCTGTGTGGAGAGAAACAGCACTGTAAAGCTGGTACTTGGATGAGCCTTTTTTTTTTTATTTATTTATTTATTTTATTTTATTAGAAGCCATATTCACACACACATTCCCGTAGCTCTTATTTCTAACTATCACACACTCACTCTCACTCCAGTGGATGCATTGGGGACAATTTGAAGTTTGGTAATGTTCGGTGTTGCCCAGGGAGACTGACATACAGCCAAGGAAGGAAACATTGATTTTCCAATTGGAGCATACTCAGCATCTCACTTATTCCAAACACAGTGGGTTGAGTTGATGCCAGAGAGCTCTATTTTGGTTTCATCTGACTACAGCACTTTCTCCCAAGCCTTCTCTCAATTATTTAGATGTTCAAAAGCGTCTTACCTTTGAAGGTCTTTTTCCCCAGTCCAACCTCGTGCAGCTCTATAATCTTGTCTCTGACATCCTTTAACAGCTTTTCGGTGTTGTCCATGATAGTGGAGAGGTTGGAATGGAAGTCATTGATTCTGTGGACAGGTGCGCTTTACAAACATCACGAGTTGGGTCCAAAAAAAGAGGTGAATGTGGAGCTGCCTAAAAAGTGTTACTCTCCTTACATTTCTATGTCAAAATGGCCATCTTTACAGCATACCTGTTTATAGCTGTGTTAAGCAGTGTTGACCACTGTATAAATTAGAGGTGGTTGTTTTGATTGACTGATGTCCTGACACAGGGAACTCGAGCTAATCGTGGTCTAGTAATTCACCTCTTGTAGTCCAACCTCTCGACTTTGTGTTGTTGTTGCCTTCTACAGCATTTTAAAGAAATTGTCTGACAAATAATAGAAGTCCATGCTTCAGTTTTGGTGAGTGATATTCCAGTATTTTATGTGATTTTACTAAATGGCACTAATTAGCAGAAATGTGTGTCTATGAGTGCAGTTTGCTAGCTGTAGCTGCTGAATTAGCACTCTAGCTGCTTGTCCACATATTGTCATTTCTGAAACAGTAGTTACCCAGTGAATGTTCCCTGAGTAACTGAGCCTCAGGTTTTGGAAACTCTGTGTGCTGAAAGTTGGAATACGCATTTTTATTTATTTATTTTTGTTATGAGCATTTGTTTTAGGGGCTTGTGCTGCCTTTGGTTGCACCTCCATGCTTTATTTTGCCCCCCAGAGAGGTGTGATGATGTGTGTGGTTGACAATAACGAGAAGTCTGAACTAGTTAGCTTGCATTTTTCCCAGCACTGTTTATGGCAGCCTTGCTGGTTTACCACAGCATATTCAAATGTTGGTAAAGTGTGACTCCTGTGTGCCAAGTTTTTCTTTTCAGCGATTTCACCTCTACTGCTGATGGCTTATAGACAATGTAAACAAACATAAACTTTAAAAAGAGCTGCTGTCAGCGTTGAACCTTATTTGATTTCATCTATGTCTCTGCACCTTTATCAGCACGTCCTCACTAAAGCTTTGTAGTGACAGATTTAATATAAATGTTTATTTTTTGAGCCGAATTCTTTTATCAGGCTTTGTAAAGCATGCAATATGTTTTTTTTTTCTTCTCACAGTAGTCTCACGGTTCAGAAAGAGAATAAAAAGTTAAATGGGCTCTAATGTCAGCAGTTGTTAATTCCAGAGAACTGGTGACAGTAGAGCTTATTAGAGTTTGTTAGACTTTGATTCTTTGAGCTAACCAGTCTTCTGTTCTTTTCATTGCAGACTGTCTATGAAGGCAGGATCTACAGTCTGAAAATAGACTGTGGATCCAAATACCCTGAGCATCCTCCTCATGTCCGCTTTGTGAACAAGATAAACCTAAGTGGTGTGAACAGCTCAAACGGTCTGGTAAGTATCCCTGCAGATATTCTTGACTGAGTTATAATATTCACTCACACGTTTTTCTTGGTAGGATTCTGAACTGTAAATGACTTGTGCAGTAAAAACATAATTAACCAACAAATAGTCTGCTCCTGGTTGTAGCTGCTGCTGCTGTAGGTATAACATATGGCTCGAGTCTCAGGAGTAGTAGGAAGTAGGTAGACTCAACAGTTTTCTGCTTTTGTGCTGCGCGGTTATGCAGTTCAATAAAATATTTCACTTCCAGTGAAATAAAATAATTATCATGTTGAATTCTGTTGCACAAAGGTGCTTATTCTGTCTTTCATTATAAAGCTAGCATGACTTTTAGCTTTTTAGAAGGGCTCCTGTGTCTCTACAGAGAACTCAAGAACTCACTCGCTGTTTAGTTTGAGCAGATGGAACTCGAGGAATTTCAGGGGAAAAAGTTGGAAAACTTGCATTTGTATCTCATTTGACTCTGGACTCTGCGGTCCAGGGTATAATTGGCAGTTTTTGAGTTCTTTTGATTTTACCTCTATATTCCACCTTTAAAACTGTTCACCTTGCCCTGTTTGGTATCATTCTTTTCAGCACAACCTCACGTCTGAATTTACACTTATGTTGTCATTTTGACATACTGCATTGACACAATTGATCAATCTAAAATCAGACAAAAAACATAAAATCCAGGTAGGAAAAAAGTTTTATTTTTTACTGTAACAACCACAAACATGTTTAACGAATCATTTTTATAACTTGAAATCCAAATGTAAATAGTAAATTTTAAAAACCTGTGCACACGTTTTGCAAACAACAGTTATTTGCAGCTATTTACCTGGTATTAAAAAAATAATAAAAATTATGATGGGGGAAAAATTATGAATGTTTATAAATGAACTTTTTGCAGATGCAGGCTTGATGAATCCTCAGTCTGAAACTGGGATTTGGACGTGACACGTAATAGACTACACGTTTGTCTATGACAACAACAACAGACGTTATTTATATAGCACATTTAAAAACCAGTGGTGTACCAAAGTGCTTAACATGCAAGAGGGTAAGATGAAGTAACAGGGGAGGATGAAGGCTATGTCAAAGTACCAACATGGTAGCAGGTTAAATGGCATTAAAAACACAGAAGCAAAAGAAATGCATATAAAAGCATAAAAGAACAATATATGTAAAGGATAAGACAGTCAAACATTTAAAAAAAAAAAAAAAAAGATTAAAAGTAGTTAAGAATAGACCGAAGATAGAAATAAGCATTTAACTAACAAACAATCATTAACTGGTAGAAAAGGCGAGGCTAAATAGGTGGGTTTTTAACTGCGATTTGAAGGATTGAATGGAATCAGACTCGCGGACAGCGATGGGGAGGTTATTCCATAGATCAGGTGCAGCCAAGGCAAACGCTCGGTCACCTCTAGTCTTCAGCCGGGATCTCGGCTGTACCAAAAGTGACTGGGAAGATGATCTTAGTACTCTAGCAGGGGTGTATAATCTAAGTAGCTCAATGAGGTAGCTTGGAGCTATATTATTAATAATTCAGAAGGTGAGCAACAGGATTTTGAATTGAATGCGATACTTAATGGGAAGCCAATGCAGGTCGGCAAGGACAGGAGTGATAGAGACATGGCGTCCACTACCAGTAAGGAGATGAGCGGCCGCATTCTGAACAATTTGCAGTCTATGGAGAAGAGTCGAGTTCAGACCAAAGTAAAGGGAGTGACCAGCAATAGCTTAGCGGAGGCCAACTGGAGCAAACAGTGGCATCTGCTCAGTGTGTACGCAGGGTTTCTGGAAGGAAAGTTCTTACACCCAAAAGCTTTCAAATGGGTGTTACAAGATTTTGGTACTAATTAAATTCAAGGAGGGAAGAGGGAGACTGAGTCTAGGTAAGATGTGTTGTCCACTCTGAAACACCACATGGGATCAAGCATTCGGTCGTGACACCAGTTTCTGTCTATAATTGTCTTTTCTATGTAGATTGAACCAAGGGTCATTGGTTACTTAATAAAAAGCACCTCCACCATCCTTCTGCTCATTTCCCTTCAGGTCGACCTAAAGGCTGTGTCATCACTGTCCCGGTGGAAGAATTCCTACAACATCCGGGCAGTGCTGCAGGAGCTCAGACAGCACATGATGATGAAAGAAAACAACAGGCTCTCCCAACCACCTGAGGGCCAGGTGTACAACAACTGAAGTTCCTGCTGCTATTCATTACTCTCTGACACACACATACATACATGTACACACACACACACACACACACACACACACACACACACACACACACACACACGTGCATGCATGCATACTACACAAGACTCTCTGCTCCCACTTCCTCCTTCGGGAGCCTTCCATTGGACGGAGAGAGGGATGTGCAGGTGAACCCAGATTCCTGACCTGGTGCCCAATCACTCTTTGAGGTTCACAGTGCAGACCAGACAATGCAAAACAAGAATACTGTACATCTTACTATAATGTTATTTTTTATGATCTTTGTGTTCTACATCCAGATTGTAAAATGACTTGAGTGTACCAATTATGTGTGTTTTCTGGGCTTTTCACATGTGGTGACAGTTAGTCCCTGATGTATGGGTATCTTGAGCCACTTTTCCATTCAAAGTACTTTAGTTCCAACGAATATTTTCAAGGTTCCTTCTTACTGTTGGTAGCTTATCATTCCAGTGTCAAGATTAGAGAAATGTAATCCACGAATGACTTTACAGCTATGATGCTGTGACAAAACAAAGGACTACAACGACAGTGAGCATGTCTTGCTGCTGCTGTTCACTGTGATTTAACACACCGTCAGTGTCAGTGCATTGAGTAAATGTTGGAAAAGAAAAGCAGCAACAGCGGCAAATCATGTTCAAAATGTCTATAATGGATTGAATGAAAAAACAAACCACTTCTGTAACCCCAGCTATAATAGCGCTCTTCATTTTTGGGATGCCTCAATACTTGAAAGATTTCCCTGAAATAGAAATAAAAATCTACCCTTTGCTTCTGCGATATCCCGATGATGTGAATTTGAGGGGCCTTCCTTAAACAAGTGTATATCTGGTACACACAATTAAACTGCTACTAGACATTCGTATCTATCAGCAGGGTACTGCTGGCTCATCACTCGTGTTCTCAGGCTTGTCTTCTGTGTGCCATAGTGCTTTGTGATGGTAATTAATTATTAGCAGCCCGTGGGATGAGGGAAAGGAAGGGTGGGGCGGGGGGGTCGACGCTGTGGGTGGGGTGCTTCGGGTCCTTGTGCTTTCCGTGTTTGGCACTTTTCCGGGATCGTCACTGTACCGTGGAACAGGAGCAGCTGTGATTGTTTTGTTTTTCCCTCCCGTTTTGGGTTGTTCACTTTCTGGGCTGACCTGTGTACATTCCATGGAGTTGTCTGCTCTCATTCAGTGATCACCCACTGAACACAATGTACTTGGATGTTTATTTTATAACGGGTTGAATCTAATCAGGGTTATGGTGACCTGTTGCATGGTTTTATTTGAATTAAACATTATTACTTTTCCACAGGCTTGTGTCGTCATTGTCCAAATGGAAGGTTTTGAAGAAAAAAAAATGGTAAATTGAAAATAATGATTCACTATTTTGATTATTTTGATTAAGCCACAGATGGATGAAAATTGATCAGATTCATACTACTCATCCTGATGACATGAGCAAATAAAGAGGAATTATTGTTGTTCACCTGAACATTTGCACTGTGTACTAAAGCTTTAGAACATGGTTCTTCAAATGGTGTCTTTGGTCTGTTTGAAATTTCTCAGTTATCTTAAGTATGGCCATATTTTATAGGAGAACACCCCCATGGATATGGTAAAAGAAGCACTCAGCTCACATAATCAACTCTCCTCCTCAGAACATTCTTTTCTTTTTTGAGTATTTTTTTAAATACACGAGGGGTGACAATACCTCCAGTGTATGCGTAGATTATGAATACTGATGTGTGGTGAACAAATACCAAAGACGCCACGTCCCAGTGGCCCCCAGGATTACAGGCCCATGGCACTGACCTCTCCCACATCATGAAGACCCTGGAAAGGCTCATCCTGGACCAGCTGCGACCCATAGTAAGACCACATCTGGATCCCCTCCATTTCGCTTATCAGCCTCGTCTTGGAACTGAGGACGCCATCCTCTACCTGCTCAATCGTGTCTACACTAGGGCTGGGTATCGTCACTGATTTCTAGAATCGATTCAATTCCGATTCACAAGGTCCTGAATCGATTCGATCCACGATTCGATTTAATTCGATTTAATTCGATTCGATTTAAATCTGGGAAATTTTGACAGTCAGAAATATTATAATTCAGATCAGTACATTTACATATTTTTGTGTCAATAAAAAGGAAGCTGACAGACGCAAGACTTTATCACAGGTGTAAGCATCACAGCAGATGCCTTTGTGTCAAAGTAGCTGAAGATAAAACACAGAAAAACATGAAGGTGATTTTCCTGGCCTGGGATTTTATAAAAATATTCTACAGTACATCAAAAACGAAAGAAAACCATTAATCAACATATGAACATCACCTCTGAAGTTACAGCGGTTTTATTAGAGACACGGTTAAGCGTTTTGCATTTTGAATAATTTTAAAAAGTTTAAATTTGTTCAGTATTGAACAGCAAAATTGAGGTTTTCTTTTCGGAAGAATGTAAAAAGGAAAAAAACAGCGGCTGACAGCGCTGTAAACAACAGTAGACTGGTGCGTAACAAGCAAGCCAATAATGAAGAAAGGGAAACTGTTCTTGAAGTACAGAGAGAGAGAGAGCTGCGCATCGCGGTGGAAGCAAAACAGTAAAAGTCAGAGTGAATTCATGACGATGTTTATGTGAATCTTCTTTTGCTGCTGGTTCGGTCAATATTGTTTGGAGAGAGAGATCAAACTAACAGCTTTAGAATCGGCTCATAAAGGGCGTGAACACAAAGTGTGGACCCGCCGACAGATCAGAATCAGCCAGCTGTCAGCTTTCACCCCCGACCATGTCCGTGCCGTCGGGTGAGAAAGGCGACATCTCACTGATTCTGATCCGCGGGTCGCGCTGTGTGTTTAAGTCTATGTGCAGAATCCGTGTACCTGCTCTCATTTACTGTCTTAACTGTTTGGTGGTTCTTGAAATTTTGTGAGATGTCACCAGAGATTCTGGCATTTCGGGCAAAATAAATTTATATTAAAAAAATCGATTCAGGATTTTAATGAATCGATTTTACGTTATCCAAGCCAGAATCTATTTTAATCGATGAATCGATTATAAAAACCCACCCCTAGTCTACACCCATCTGGACCAGCCCGCGAGCACTGTGAGGGTCATGTTTTTTGACTTTTCTAGTGCTTTCAACACCATCAGGCCGACCCTCCTGGGTGATAAGTTAGCAGCGATGCAGGTGGATGCTTCTCTGGTGTCCTGGATTGTTGATTACCTGACAGGAAGACCACAATATGTACGTCTCCCACAGTGTGTGTCTGACAAGGTAATCAGCAACACAGGGGCACCACAGGGAACTGTCCTCTCCCCCTTCCTCTTCACCCTCTACACCACAGACTTCAGCCACTGCACAGAGACCTGCCATCTTCAGAAGTTTCCTGATGACTCTGCGGTGGTTGGATGCATCAGCAGTGATGATGAGACAGAGTACCGGGCTGTGGTCGACTCCTTTGTCACGTGGTGTGAGCAGAATCATCTGCAGCTCAACGTGGCAAAGACCAAGGAACTGATCGTGGACTTCAGGAAGACCAGGAAACACTTGACCCCTGTTTCAATTCAGGGGGTCAGTGTTGACATTGTGGAGGACTATAAATACCTTGGAGTACACATTGACAATAAACTGGACTGGGCTAAAAACACCACAGCACTTTACAGGAAGGGCCAGAGTCGTCTCTATTTTTTGAGGCGACTGAGGTCCTTCAACATCTGCCAGAAAATGCTGAGGATTTTCTATGAGTCTGTTGTGGTCAGTGCTATTCTCTATGCTGTTGCATGCTGGGACAGCAGGCTGAGGCTCGCAGATGCCAGCAGACTCAATAAACTGATCTGTAAGGTCAGTAATGCTGTGGGGTTGGAGCTGGACTCCCTCAAGGTGGTGTCGGAGAGGCGGATGCTGTCCAAGATAAAGACAATGTTGGATAACACCTCCCACCCACTCCATGACATGCTGGTCAGTCACAGGAGCACGTTTAGTGAGAGACTGAGATTACCCATGATGCACCACTGAACGACACAGGAAATCTTTCCTGCCTGAGGCCATCTCCCTGTACAACGCATCCACTTAACACACTGTTTGCTGCTACAACTACACATGTTTCTTTTTCAGCTATTTATTAATGAGTGACTTTATATATATATATATATATATATATATATATTAGGGGTGCAACGATATTCGTATCGATATTGAACCGTTCGATACAGAGCTTTCGGTTCGGTACGCATATGTATCGAACAATACAACATTTGTAATTTATTTTATCAACTTTCCTTCTGACGATGCTGTCTGTGTTGAGCGCTCAGTGAATCTGTGTTCGACTACTCCGCCTAGGCTGCACTGTCGAGCGCAGATCCACTGAGCGCTCAACACAGACAGCATAGTCAGGAGAAAGAGCACAGGGCAAGCTAGCGAGACAGAAGTTAAGCTCTCCTTTTAACATGGACCTCCCCCACCCTCATTCAGATCTGGCGTTTGGAATTATTTTGGTTTTCATGTGACGTATGACCCTGAAGGTAAGCGAGTCATGGACTAAAGTAAAACAGTATGTTGGATGTGCCATGCAATGCTTAATTACATTGGTGTGAACTAGTGTGTTAGCGCAGTTAGCTCGTTAACGTGTTGGCCGTCTAGCCCCATGCACGGGGCGATCGGCGGTAGCTCGTTAACGGAGATTTGCCGTGTTGTGGCGTTAAGGTCATTTCAACGAGATTAACCTGAAAGCACTAGTGGGAACACAACGAATATGACTGCACATTTACGCCGACATCATCCTAGTGCAAAGACCAAAACAACAAGCATGCTACTAACTTTAGCCGAGTCATTTAGACAGCTGTTAGCACATGATTCTCCTTATGCTGCTGAGAATATAGCCCAGAAGAAGCGGATAGTATAGCTTTTATTTTGGAAAGAGACATTTCTCTGTAATAAACTCTCTTTTCCAAAGATGAGTGATTCCTCAATCAGATACAGGGCTTGCAAAATCCCTAGCCCGACGTCCCGGAGCTAGCGATCTTTCCAGTCGGGCTACAAAAATCTCTCTGCCCTGCCTGTCGGGCTATTGTAGGAAAAATATATGTCAATGCTTTTGCATTCTTTCAGAAATGTAGCTGGGTAATTATGTCATTGGCATCGGTGAGCCACTGTCAATATGTGACATATTGAAGTCGCGTTTGAATTTGCGCTTGTTTTTTTGCTTTCACTTTGCAATCGTGCGAACTGTGTATAGAGAGCGACAGCACTGATCTGTGAGTGATGATAATTTGTGCACCAATTCCTCTGACATCGTCTTATTAATCGTTAGCTTACTATGCAAACATGACAAGTGAAATCTCCCGCAGCAAGCTTAAACATGTGAGAGGTTGATCGAGCAGAGAATCGCTGAGCTTATGTGAGTCCGTGTGTAAAAGTAGCAGTATATATATTTTAGTTCTGCTGAGCCAAATAAGACAGGTCGGGGTGAAGAAGTGACAGCCAAAGAAAGCTTACCACAAAACGGAGAAGTTATGACAAATCAGACTATAAGGCAAAAAGAAAGTGCAGCTTTATGGTTTCATGGACAAAAGAATTTCTGTGGCTGCAATATGATGAGCTAAATAACCAGGGCTGCACATAAGTGGTCCGCAGGTGCGCATTCGCTGTCAAAATAAAAAACGCGCACAAGGGTTAGGGTTAAATTTAAAAACTGTACTTTTGAGTTAAAATATATATTTATAATTTTAATAAATGACAAATTAAAAAGGCATGAACATTTTTTTGTATCGAAAAAATATCGAACCGTGACACCAAAGTATCGAACCGAACCGAACCGTGAATTTTGTGTATCGTTGCACCCCTAATATATTAGGGGTGCTCAGCGATTCTCTGCGCGATCAACCTCTCACATGTTTAAGCTTGCTGCGGGAGATTTCACTTGTCATGTTTGCATAGTAAGCTAACGATTAATAAGACGATGTCAGAGGAATTGGTGCACAAATTATCATCACTCACAGATCAGTGCTGTCATTGCAAAGTGAAAGCAAAAAAACAAGCGCAAATTCAAACGCGATTTCAATATGTCACATATTGACAGTGGCTCACCGATGCCAATGACATAATTACCCAGCTACATTTCTGAAAGAATGCAAAAGCATTGACATATATTTTTCCTACAATAGCCCGACGGGCAGGGCAGAGAGATTTTTGTAGCCCGACTGGAAAGATCGCTAGCTCCGGGACGTCGGGCTAGCGATTTTGCAAGCCCTGTATCTGATTGAGGAATCACTCATCTTTGGAAAAGAGAGTTTATTACAGAGAAATGTCTCTTT